GACAACTACCACAAACCATAACACTAGTAGAACTTATCAGCACCTAATTGACATAATACAAAATTCCTAGGAAAGTGATTATGCTGTGAATGCCCACTTCAGAAAATAGAGGGATCCCAAATAATCTAATAATTCATTAAAGACCCTAGACAAATAATTCATTCATTCTTTGTATGGTGTTTTTATTCTCAATTTCATTCATTTTTGTTCTGATCTTTATAATTTCCTTACTTCACAAGTGCTAGCTTTGCCTTTCTATTTGTATATCTTCCTTTGAGTTCTTATACTAGGGAGATGATACGATATTTATACATGTGGGTCTGGTTTATTTCACTTATGAGTATATCTTCAAGTGGCATCTACTTAAATATAAAGGCTTCAAGTTTATCATTCCTTATAACTGAATAATACTCCACTGCATAAAAATACCACATCTTTTTCATCCATTCCTCAGGTGAAGGGCATCTTGGTTGTTTCCAAGATTCAGCTATCACAAATTGTGCTGCTATAAACACAGGCACATATATGATATGATGTTTTCAGTTCCTCTGGGAAAATTCCCAGTAGGGGGATAGCTGGTTTGAATGAGATTTCCAGTCCTAGTTTTTTAAGGAGTTTCCACACTGATTTCCATAAAAGCATTACACAATTAAAAAGAAAGCGAGAACTTGAGGATTAGTTAACAAAGAGGGCAAGGAGAAAAGCATGACAGGGGAAAGTCATACATTTATTTGCACAGGATCGGAAAGGCAATGGTTCTAAGAATCTCCAGCATGTTTTTGAAAATAGCAGTTAATTGGTAGATCTCTCACCCTGACTATATATGTTGATACCTGTGAACGAAGCAACTGCACTGAAGAAAGCAACGTGTAGTGGTAGAGTCATGCTTGTAATGCCTGTCATTGTGGTCTTCTAATTATGTACTGCTTGTCATGACATGCCTATTATGGCCATACTGTCTCTCAAGTGAAGGTTTGTTTAAAAGTGAAAGGTAATGAATGAAAACATGAGACAAAAAAGTCACAGGACTGACCTGCTACAAGGAAATATTGTTAGATTTCTAAATTTCTGTGTAAAAATATTTCAATGCTTATTCTTATTTTTGAATTTTTTTATCTTTTTAATCTTTTTTCTTCATATTCTGGGGGGAATAGAAGTTTAACATCAATACTCGAAGGAAAATACCTGTTTCATGTTATGTCTAAGATGTTTGATATTCAGACAGATAGTGTGTTTTAAGCTCAACTGCATGTTATAGGGTAATAATATCATTAAGCTTCCCTTCTGGAGGGTTAACAACTTAAGTTTGCAGACCAAAAATTATAGAAAAAGAAGGGCTACAAGGACAGCCAACATTTTGGCCTTAGCATTTCAAGGTCAGTAAGGACTCAGGAAATAGAAGAACCTGAACTGTAACATCGTGTAACTCAATTTTGTCCCAAATTTTCTGATCAAGAAGATTTTAGGGCCACAGAGGAAAGTGATTGATGATGTAGAGTGTGCCTAAGGAGAATCACATGGAGAGAAAACATTCTCTCAAGCTTTCACAGAGAGCAAATTGCTCAAGCTATGGCTGTGACTCATCTACATGGCTGACACTGACGCAGGATCTATAAACTGAGGTATAGGGTTTCAGGTTAAATCTTGAGAGGATATGACTGACCTTATCAGATACAAAAGTTATATTTCTTGTTATATAGGTCTTGCTCTTTTATGGTCTTAACTATCTAACAAATAACTATGAAAATTAAGTATAAAAATTAAAGCCATATTAATATGATGAGCTGTAAAATGCTCAAGTCAACAACTTCAGGCATTGACAGTCTTATGGAAAACCCACTACTATTATGAACTAGTGGACTATATTGGGATATTTTGCTGAATTCATGCACCTACAGTATTTAAATGACAATGGAGTGCCCTTCTCCAACAAAAGGGGGATACAAATGAATGACCATTTTGGATCTGTATACTCAAAACAATTAGGATAGATATACAGCTCCATTCTCTTAATTCAATGAATAGAAAGGTTTGTTGTCATAGTGTTTGAAACAGGCTATTATGTCTACATCTTGTACAATGAATAACCACTAAGACAACAATATGCAATGTATTAATTATTGAAACTGTGCCAGTAATCAGTTTTGAAACTGTCTCATTGCTATTGGGGAGGAATGACGAAAGGAGGAGACTGGGATATAAAAGTGGTTAAGGGGTGTTATGTCCAGGAACCGAGTCCCAGTCAGTATGTACTATAAACATGTACTAATAAAAATATTTTTAAAGTCAGTACATTATTTCCTTCCATCTATAGAAATGCAAGCGATGACTGCTATTAGCCTAGCACAGTAATAACCACATAAATCATTTAGTATTCGAAAACTGATCTACCAGAAGATTTTAAAATATAAGAGCTTCCTTTATTTAACCTTTACAGAACATGAACTATCTGCACAATGCTATCTTTATTGCTTTTCCATTATTAACAAGTGTCCATCCACACCTACCTAGTAGGCCTCAAGACTGCCTCAGATACTTAGGATCTGAGAGACAGTGTACTTCCTATTAAACTCTACTGAAAACTGACTTAGCCAGGCCAGAACTGCCTCTCCAGGAGGCAACACAGAGAAGCCTGGACAGCGGACTCTTGGAGCTGCAATAGAAAAGTCCCTTTAAAGTTTCATGTTGCATTGTTCTGATTTTGGGTTCCCCTTAGGGCAACTTAGATCACTAGCACAGGCCACTCCAAAATATGACCCTCAGGCACAAAGATTATTTTGAGCTCATAATTTTGAGAGATAATAGACAACCTAGGAGGGGCTCTAAAGCCAAATACACGTCAATCTTTCCTAGGGGACATGCAAATCAGTAAAGGAAACCCCCGTTTAAGTGGGAGTTTTGCTGTCTATTGAGGAAGATGACTGGACAGACACTCTCCTCCTGAGGATGACTCTAACTAATTGTGCACAATGCACTTGTCTTTATTGTGATTTTCTTGTCTATTTCATCTACACTTTCCTCTACCAACATCCTTTTTGGTTGGTTTCAGCTTATTGAAGCCTGAACTCAAAGCTACCTCTGGAATTTGCACATTCTCTGCGTATCTCCCCCTCCCCCATATGTTAGTACACTCTCGCTTTCCTGCTGGTATATCTTTCGTTGCAGGCCTCCATCACACTTAAGAACTACAATGATAGAGACTCAGGTGTGTCGTCCTCCTCAATAGCAACAATGGCACACTGCTTCCTGTCCAAATTTCTGCCTAATGATGATAGAATTAAACATTTTTTTTTCTTCCAGGAAGCCAATAGAGGCTAGTATTTCTTTTTTAATATAGTATACATACCAATCATTTTGACTTCAATAAAGAAATTGAAGTAACCAAATGAGAAGCAGATATAAACCTACATCTGTTTCAATAGTGACAGGGTAACTCATGCGTCCACGGCCATTAATGCCGCATCTACCTCCTTAGCTAGTGTCTCATTCCAGGGAATGAATCTCCCTATGTAGTCTATTATATCCCTTAAAGATTTTGAAGGTGGGAATCATTTTATCTTTTCAAAATACCAGTTGTCTATTTATGGCCTATGAAAAAAGAATCCCTCATCACTCAAGTAGGAACTTACTTTCTGCTCCATATGCAGGTTTTATTTATTTATTTATTTATTTATTTTTTTGGCAGTACTGGGGATTGAACTCAGGACCTTGAGCTTGCTGGGCAAGTGCTTATTCTACTGACTTATCCACCTGGCCAGCTCATATGCAGAATTTAAGAGATACTTATTTGGCAGAGTTCTAGCTATAAAAAGTTCCATATATTTAAACTGTATCATATCCATATTAAACTGAATCACATCATCCATATATGATTTATATATAACAATATACACTAATTACAGAAGAAAATATATAATAATAACAAGGATTTACTATTACAAATTATTTTATAATTAACTGAGAAATAGTAGTTATAATTGTTGTTTTTCTACTTAAACTATAAATATATGATCAGGAAAAAGATCTAGCAATTTTCTAAAGAAAATATTCAAACTTTTCAATAGAAAGCAAATATTACACTTACTAATGAATATATTTCATTGTTTATTAAATACATTTTTAAAAATCATTTTATGCTAAAATATATAGTTAAACACAAATATATGAAGGGTATCTTTAAGCTTAAAAACTGAGACATCTTTTGTCTCTAAAGAGTAGGTGATATAAATCTGAATCTACATTACTTTTGCTTCTTCAGGATTATATAAGCAATATTTTTGTGCCCATTGATCAAAAGAATGACAAATTTTCAATAGAATATCTTGTTTATAATTTTAAAAAGGCTTTGTAACTAAGCGTGTATTTTACTTTTGTCTACTTTAGTGCTGTGTTGATATATTTACTTTTATTTTCTAATGTATAGGTATTTCACAAGACAAATAATTGCAGAGAGAAATAATCTAATATTCTGAGTATTAAAAGTGTTAAAATAACTTTCACATTTAGATCTAACATTCTCCTGGCTCCAACCAAAACAATAAAGAAAAACTGAGAGGTGAAATATGGACCAACCCAAAAAAAGCTTCATTTAAGAGAAGTTCTAAGGACATCCAAGCTCTCCTTCACACCAAAACTTTATATTCCTAAATCGACGTGGCTTAAAATGGTTAAAATTGAGAAGAGAGGTCTTGTTTATGACTTCTAATCTTTTCTTAATCTGTTGTAAATTAGCAACAGCAGCACTTGCTTAGGTAATATTTGCAGAGTGTCAAATTAATGCCTGTATTAATGCATCAAGAAGTGTAGATTTTGAGCAGTAAACACAGTTTTAAAATTATTTCAAAAACAATGATTCAGAGAAGAAAGGGCTCTTTCCTTGACTATTAGGAAAGACAATTGATATGCATGATATAAGACTTCGTACATTTGTCTATTTGCACAGTGTAAAGAAACTCAAGGGTTTGGACACGGGATTTCCAAATGCAAAAACATAGACTTACTGGTGCACGCCATGGAAGGGGGGTCTTTTTCAGCTCTGAAGTAACCCTTCTCACACTGACACACAGAAGTGGCTTCCTTGTAGCTCAGACTGTGTGGAGGACACTTAGAGCACTTTGTGTTTCCAGCAAATGCTTTATAGAATCCTGGTCTGCAAGCTGTAAAAACAGGAAAAACAATTCACTTTTAATTATTTTTCTAGATGATGTTTTGGCAGCATTTATATTTGGAGTCTAAAGAGTTCCGAGTAACACACACGGTAAAGTAAGTATATGTGTTAATATCAAAAAAGCAAGTTAGCTGTTTGTGATGTCAAGCCTAAGTGTCATCTTGATTGGTACTTTGTAAGACATTACACGGTATGTTCAGGCAGATCATAAGAACTTGAGCATGGGGCCTACATCGGACCTCTCTCTCCTTCTCTGGCACTGTTCCCTTTTCTGTCCCCCAGCAGCCAGGAACTAAGCGATCTTGCTCTACCTAATCCTTCTGCTATGACATACCAATACTGGAGCCAGTGTATCACATACTGAACACTTCGAAACCATTAGCCAAAGAAACTTTTTTTTTTAATTGTGAATAGTGGATATTTTCTCTCAGCAAGAGGAAATCTGACCAATATGTTACTCAAAATCACTAAGAAAATTATGATCTATTTTATCTGAGGTTGCTAAACTTTAAAATTAGTATATCTGAAGCCTATATACACACTCATACACACAAGCAAAAACACACACACGATCTACTAGTGCTTCACAAGTGTAAGGATCCTCGTAACTGGCAATACAAGAGATGGCTTTGGAGCTCTGGAAAATGGCATTAAAAACACTGAGCCACACTGTGAATGACGCATTCGCATTCTTCTTCTTTTTTTTTTTTGTATCCAGGGACAAAGACTTGGTTTCATCCTGGTATATGTTTAGGTCACTTTTTAGTAGCTAAGTTTTCTCTAGGGTATGAGGTATGTAATATATTTTGTGTTTCATTTTATGAAAGGAGAAGGTCAGTGAAATCCCCTCAGGATTTATCCTGAGATCCTGTACCTCAGAGTGTAGAACCTTTGTCAGTGTTAGCCATGTGGATGAGTCACGGCCATTGCTTGGCCA